AGGGCAAGCTCATGTGAAGGAATTAGGGTTTAGGGTTTAGGGTTTGGGGTTTAGGATTTAGGGTTTCGGGTTCAGGGTTACATTCATTTCTCCTTATTCTAGGAGCAGTACTTTAGGCCAAATCCCACATCATGGACCTCGTTTACGACATGCCAATTAGGTGATTTTAGATGATTTCCGTACACTTACTGGGGGTTAGTAGGGAACAAGGGGATATGTTGCATAGGGTTACTTATATTCCTGTTTTCTCTACAAACTACAAGTAAGTAAGAACGTCTGGCACCTCCGGCAAGGGCCCAGCTGTTTTGAGTTTAACCCAAGCACTGGCCCTAAACCAAGGCCGCTGTTTCTTGGAGAGTGGGTTGGATTGGTAAAATCATGATGGATTTGGGACCCTGCAGAGGCTTTTCACAGGCCAGATCTCAATCCAAGCCTACAGTACTGGGCTGGCTTTAGCCTTGTGTTTCTTAAGGCACGATTTCAAAAACCAATGCCACGATCAAACCTATACAATATTCGAGAATACATCAGCAAAGCATTTTGTAGAAATTACCTTCGGACCTTGAAGCTAGGAAGATCCACTGTTAGGATTGCATGTGCATTCCTACTTCATTTGATTGGTGCTGATGCTTTGTGAGAAGGTTTCATGATGAAGGCGCTTTGGCCGAAAGCTCCTGAAGCCCTACTGCGGGATATAAACAACTCTAAAACCTGAATCCTTCACTCTGAGCCCACAAAGAACATGAGAGCTTGTGAAAGTTTCTGATGAGGAGGGCTATCCTTGTGGTGGTCCTATACCAAAGAACCCCTCAGGTGGGTAGTTATCAGGTGGGTTTCCTTAAAGGAGGCCTATATAGACCTCATATGAGCTACAGTCTAAGCTCCTTAAAGAGGGTTATATAGGGATTTTGTAGGAAGGGACTCTTTTAGGTGTGATTCAGGGGGATAGGAGTTTAGATTATAGACTCATATTTAGCCCAATTCCCCATTTGTAAGAGATGTTTTTGAGTTTTTTATGGGGTCACCTGGTAACTACGCCGGGGTATCCTTGATCGTAAAAAAAAAAATGTATGTCGGGGATCATGGTTTCCCGTTTGATATACAGCCTGTCTAAGGTCTGCGACCCAACAAAGCTCAGGACATTTCATTCCTCTGCCTTCCAGCGCATGGTATTCCAGTGCCCGGAACAATCCTAGCCCTGAACCCTAAACCCTTTACCTAAACCCACGACCCTGAATCCTAAATTGTAAGCCCTAGCCCAACACCGATCGAGCAGCAGGCGCAGACCATGGAAGAAGAGGACGAGCCAGAGGAGTCGATTCCAACGAAGATCCCTGGCCGCTTAGTACTCCCGCACGGGCTTAGGGTTTAGGGTAAGACTTGCCTGTCCCCAAAATCTTGAAACAGATCTTGGTCAACGTGAATGTTCTTGTTATATGGTTCCACATGGTCGCAGCGGTGAGTAGAACAAAGTACCGAGCGTGTGCTAGTGCCCAAGAAGATCCTGACAGCCATGCTTCAGCCATCCGTCGTGTCCCGAGCCGGAAACATCCATACATACACACATGAGGCTAGAGCGTGAAGTGCAGAGGCTGAAGAATTGATTTGAGAGAGACCTCATACGGTTGATAGAGGTTTGACTGTGGGTAGTGCACCTTTGAGTCTTCCTCTTCCTGCTTCTAACACAGGGATTACCCATCTTGCATGTGTCTGAAGGACCAGTAATGCTGACTGCGATTCCACGTTTGTGCACAGACTAGTGCTGGCTCAGATTCTCGATTTCATGTGCGGGGTCTTGGGGGCTTGGAGGCTTTCTTACTGCCTGGCTTAGCGCTTCACACAGCAGAGATCCTCAAATATTGAGTCCAATTTCTGCGCGTACCAAGGGAGCCGTACGCCGCGAGTGCTTGTTTGGAAGTCATAGTTTCTGCAGCTAAGCAGAAGCGCCCTCAAAAGCCTCATGAAACCCGTAGAACAACTTGAGAAGTTCTGCCTGCTTTTGCTGATTGGATTTTGGGCGGATTTTTTGATACGCATTTACGGTGTTGAGCTGACCCATGTATGGTTCTCTCTTTTGGGTCTGGAGACAATTCAACATAGCTGTTGACGCGCCTCCTATTCGAGGTTGAGGGAGATGGCAGCCCGAACTAGTCAACGCCGGAAGAAAATGAAGAGGGCGGTGGACACCCAAAGCTCCTCTTCTTGGTTCTGGTCGCAAGAGGGTTCAGTGTTATCATGGTCTTCGGGAAAGGCAAGTGTCTCGTTCCATCATAGAGCCCCACAATTTGTTGGGGCTGTCGTTTCGGTAGTGAGGCATGATTATTGTTGCTGTCGGGTCTTCCGGGCCAAAATGTATATTTTTGGTTCCTTCAGTGATATCCGAAGGTGGCAGGACCCAGTCAATGTAGGCTTGGACTGTGCCATACCGGAATATGGAGATGTTCAGAAAGTTCACATCTTTCCAGACCAGGTTTCGTATGTGTGACAAGCAGCATGACTAACAAGGACGGTAATGCAAGGTAAATCTAGATAAGGCTTGATAAGCCTCAGCAACCCGTCATAAGGCCTTAGTTTATGGGGGCCCTGGTATCCGGGGAGCTCGTACTAGCCCCATGATCCGAAGCTTCCTTTGGTTCTTTTCGCAGTGTGTGCAGGAGACACAGCAAGCCGAGATGGACAATTTACTTGCCTCTGGCGAGCAGGAAACGAAGGAATGAAAAAGGGGTGCATGCAGGGACAATTTACAAAGAACCACTCTTTCATTCCTCTCAACCAGAGAGATAAGTAAGATAATCCCAAGATAACCATAGTTACAGTAGAACATACCGAACCTGCCGATCCTGCACGCAGGAAGTCTGAAGCCCTCAGCCTGAATGTCCAGACTTAACTCAGGCATCGATGGTATCGATGAGGTCCAGCATGAATTGGGCGTTCAGACAGGCTTGGTCATCTTGCGAATGAGCTTGAATTTAGGATGGGGAGGGTGACCGGACGTGGGGCTGGTCATTAGCTCTGATTTGGTCGGGTTCAGGATGCAGGGGGCTTTTGTGGTTTCAGACTGTAGCAATTTGGGGAATTCAGCTTGAGGGCCGTTAAATCCCTTTTAGCCTCAACTTGCTGAAGTCCGCTCATCCCACATCCACGCAGCTTGTGAGCAATACCCCCGATGTGTCCTGAAACCCTTAACCCTAAACCCTGACCCCCAAACCCTTAACCCTCAACCCGCAACCCTAAATAACATAACACTGCCTTTGTGCAGCACACCGCAAGGCTTCCAAAGGCAAGCTTCTCAAAATGGGGAACCCTTGGGGGCCAGGGGTTTAAGGTTTAGGGTGAGGTTTGTTGGGGTTGGTCACAGATTTGTTTGGGAAATAGGTTTATCAGGAAACATTGACCCTAAACCCTAATCCCTACACCCTAAACTCTATCGCCTAAACCCTAAACCCTAAGGGCCATGTTGGGAACAGGATTGCAAAAGGTTGCCCTCCGAGAAGCTGCCCAATCATGCGGGGTTTAGGGGCTAAGGTTCCCCACTTCTAAAATCTCAACGCGCCGCATCCGGAGCTCCCTTGAGGTACGCCCCTCGTAGTTTAAAGCAAGAAATCAAGGCAGACAACTCAACCAAAACCAAAATGCATATCTGGGAAACCCAGCTCTACCTGGATGTTCAGGGTAGTTATGACCCAGCTAGAACTGTTCATGACCCAACTGCAAGGCCCGGTAGGTACCTTGCTTGATATGGGTTCTGATTAGACTATGGTAGTTTCCCCAAATAGGGGGACCCTAAAAAGATACCCAAAACTATAGTCCTTATTATATTGACCTCAAAAAAAATCCCGCCTAATTGTAGGACACGCTAAGCTGAAAAGGCTAGCTTCCATTTTCTTATCCATTATTCCTATGTAACCTATTAAAAAAAAGGGGACTATAGCTCATATGAGTGGAACTAACCTCCAATTCATCACCCCACCCGCTTCCAATCTTCCCTCAACATCTCTCGGCAGACATTGGTGAAAACAAAGCCTTCGAACCCGGCCAGCGGAAAGAGTGCCTGGCGACGCCTGGACAGAGATCAATGGCAGTTGATGGAGGAAATCTTGCACTACCTCAAGTCCCTGAAGTCCCTCAGGGTCCCTACCCCCGTAGCGCGGGTGTAGACTTTATGGGTTGTGGAGGTGTTCTGGGGGTACGAAGCAGCCCTGAGAGATGATCTAAAAGATTAGTATGAGTTCGACCCTAAACCCTGAACTCTTAACCTTAAACCCTAAACCTTAAACCTTAAACCCTAAACCCTAAACCCTAAAACTAGGTTTTTTAGCTTGCAGGGCTTGGGGTTTCAGATGTGAGGGCAGCAGTTGGGGGAAGCATTTGGCATCTCGAGGCTAA